CTGATTTCGATGCATTATTGTGAAGCCGACGAATGGGACACTTCCGGTAAGGAACTCACCTAGGACGAGGAAAATTTTTTACTTCTTCATTTTGTTCCTTATAATCATCCCTACGGGATTCGGATTTGCATCTAAATTTTACGTTCGCCCACCAAAATATTGCGCGTCTTCTTCAGTAAACTCTTGAAGATTATTCGATCGTGACCACCCACCTGTGCAGCGTACACCGGTACCTCATTATTTCTGGCCATCACTAGGAATCCAGAATTTGATCTTATACGAGAGGGGGAGGATTTACTCTGGTTTTGACGGCTGATGTATGTTTCAATCAACTTGGAGATGTTGCTAGAATCGGAATCGGGGTGTGCTGCACACTGTCAAAGTGGCAGAGGAAACACTTTTGCAGCCGGAAGGCAGTAGGCGGGGCTGTATTCCGGCCAACTAATCCTCTCTCTATCTCTCTCTCTCTCTCTCTCTCTCTCTCTCTCTCTCTCTCTCTCTCTCTCTCTCTCTCTCTCTCTCTCTCTCTCTGCAATTTTGCCGCCTATACCGCCGTCTTTTTGTGCTCTTATTTTTCGCCCCTCTGCTGCAAAACGTTTTCGATAGTAGTCGTCACTCAAGTTGCACTTTGAGAATTTTTACAGCTTTCTAATTTATTACCTTACGAACTGAGGGCATGTTTACAGTTGGTGAGGGAGGTGAATTAATTGCTCTTTAGTAATAAGGATCGGTTTACTTCATCTGGAGTATAGCCTTTTTAGAATCAAGGTGAGATTAAATGATCTGCCCCCGACTAGATAACTGGGACACTGGAGCAATAAACGACACCGTGCTCCGCAATCGGTGTACCGAACACATCTAGATAAGGCTCCTGATAACGTAAAAGTACTGCGCCTGCGCAAGCAGCTATCAGAATTTCGACCAAAGAGATTCCCTCTTTATGACGAAGCCGATTTCAGGTCGTAGCCTAAATGTGGGCCTCTGCATGGAAATGCTGGGTGAAGGAGGGTGCAAGCAGGTGATCAAATCACTGTTTGGAGGCTGGAAACACAAGGAGGATCGGGCATTCAGTTGGCAAAGGCTGCCAGAAGCATCTAGAACCGTACACGTTTGCGAAAAAACCGTTCGCTAAATGTGTAATATCAAATTTTCGCATGATTGAAGGCTCTAGTCTACATTTTGTCGCTCTCTTTCTCTGGCTTCGTCATTCGCTTTAACTGGCTTTCTTCCCAAAGGTGCAAGTCGTCCGTGCTTTGTAGAGGTATAAGCACTTCTGAAGGCCTGTCGGGATTTTGAAATGCGGCATCTAGGGAACTGTATGTCGGGTCTATGTTGAAACCCAGTTTCTCGAGCCACGTGAAGGGTATTTTAAGCCATACTGATGATGATGATGATGAGGAGGAGGAGGAGGAGGAGGAGGAGGAGGAGGATGAGGATGATGATGATGATGATGAGGA